GAACACTCTTGAGTGCAATTTCAACATTCGGGAATTCAGATTTCAAATTGTCTGAAATTATTTTTCTGTACAGTGTAGAGGGAGAGTCACAATTTCCATCACGAGCCATTTAGTGCTCGAGATGCTCACATTCATTTAAAAGGTCATCATAATTCAGGTCTTTCTAATACGTATTAGCCAAATGTTCACTTTTTATTTAGTGCATCAGAAGCAATGATTTTCAATTCTCTGAAGAAAGAAAACAGATTTCCAATCTGTGAATAGACCTCTGCACATTTTGTCACTTCAAAGATCAGTGTGTCCAGAATAGGGAGGAAAGTTTCCACCTTGAATTTTTTGGTTTTAAGGAGAAGAACCTCTTCTGCTGATCCATCATATCTACTAAGACGCACACTTCATTTTCGTTCCCGTTTTTTCCCATCACTATAATTTGTATCTGGACACATACTCCTGGCCTTGAATTCATATTTACCAAATTTTTCTCTAGTTTTGTGAAGATAGGTTTTCATAGACTCAAAAAGATTCGTGGCAATAAGGATGTTCACATCCTTTGATTTGCAAGACCTTGTTTGTTGTTTATCCTTTCTAGCATGTCATTCTAAAGAATTGTGGGAAAGATTGTTTCCAGGTTTTCCATTTTTTTTGTTCAATCCTTCTGCCTCTTGCCTTGTATTCCCCTTGCTGTTCATTGTCAGCTGATAGAGAATCCAGTGCATGTTTTATTTTCTTGAAAATCCCATACAGAGCATGAACAGCATCAAAATGTGTTGACCATCATGCGTCAAACAGACGCTTGACCACAAAATCTTTCCTAAAGATGATGTCGGTATATTCCAGCGATGAGTAGAACCAACAAAAGATGAATTCAGATGCTGAACAAAGTCAAAGAATTTGACAGTCTGTAGGCAACACTGCTGCTTTTACTCCGACCAAATTCAGGCCGTGTCCAGCACAGGGGACATTGGGGGGGGATAGCAAACTCATTTGAGTATGTGAATCCATGCTTACAATCCAGTATATCATCCAGACATATTTGAGGCATTATTTTATGACTGACAGCAGTTTGATAGTGGAATTTTGTTCTCGTTAAGAAAATCCATGACACTGTTAGATCCTTTACTCCAAGAGAAAAGATGGGGATGAACCTCAAGAAACGTTCCACAGGCTCACAACCTATACCTTTCAGACAGTAAATATCAGCTGATCTGTGTGCGAGATGTCTTGAGTGGAATCTACACTTATTGAATAATACTTTTGACTCTTCAAGAATAGTACAAAGAACCTGTTGTCTCATTAATTCAATAAATTCCTCACAAATTTTTGCAGATAAATATGACGGATTCCCTTTTCCAGGATTTCCATACATTTCGAGAAGTTCTTCCAAGACAGGGTCAGATTCAATCAGCAGCTCTAGTATACCAAAATAGTTGCCATTTTTTGTTCACCCAATAATCTGATCTTCTCTATGAAATGGCACACCTCTAGAGGCAAGATTCTGAATTATAGAAACCACTCGAGTCAACACTTTATGCCAATACTGTATTCCTGCTCTGAGCGATGTTGCTCAAGTAATACAGAATCTACACTTCCAGTTTTTTTATGCCTTATAAAAGATGCTAAAAACTGTTCGCAATTAAAAGGCGCACATTTTAAAACTACAGTAGTTCCATAATAATCGAACAATAACTGGAATTTTAACAAATATTTTAATTTTGAATGCAACGTGTGTCCTCGCACATTCTTGAGTATATTCATATACAGACGCATTATACGTTATCAGTCAAACAAAGTGTTAATTTTGGAAGTTGTCCTATTTTCTCCTCTTTTGTGCTCCATTCAAAACATTACGTTTCATTTCTGCTGAAAGTGTTATTCACCTGGAAATATGTATTTTAAATATTTAGTATTCAGTGCAACATTCCATGATGTAGGGTTATATTATACAAGTGTGCTTGCCACAAGACCTGAATATTTAAACATTGCTTCCATAATGAACATGTTCCATGCTTGTGGGGCCTATTGGACCCATGCGGTAAGACGGCTCTGATTGGTGCTAACATCTTGGGTGCCTTGTGTAGAAGATGTACTCTTCTAAAGTCTTCACATACTCTTAAGTCCCATTTGTTTTGTACATTTTCAATCTTTAGTATTTAAATAATCTTAATTTTAAATCTTAAAGTTTTTTTGTTTGTTTTTTGTTGAATTCCCTGTAATAAGTTAGAAGTTAATACAGTATACACGTTAGCATTGTATTGTCTGATACTGCTTATGTAAACCTACTGGAACACAAGTTATTAATAGAGTAAATATATTACAATATGTGGTTTGGTGATAATGAACTGCTCCAAAGATAACACTTAGCAATAATATTTGTAAAAGATTTATATAAAGCAAGAAAGATTAATTATGGAAGTGTTCCTTGAGAGTCTTGTGGGTTGAACTGAGCAACTGAAAATGTGACTGTGATTGGTTTTCCTGGTGAGAAGAGGGCATTAAACAATAACAGAAGATGGAAGAGATAAATACACGAGTGCAGAAGCTCGATATATATTTTATAGGTATATACAAAATTATTAAATACAATGGGGAAATTTTAATGGAATAGTAGTGAAAACTTTGGCAGACACGGGAAAGTAGTACTGTTCTGGACATTAAGAAAAACGGCTGTGATTTGACCTCTATGTGAAAATAATGGTTGTGAATGTAAGAAGTTAAGGCATTAGTGTTGTAGGTGGAGTGGGCATAGTGTATGGCAGGATACCTATTACAAGAGTACAGAAAATATAATAAAATATAGTTAGTGATGAGCTATGTGTATTTTATAGTATGGATCATTTTGTTAAATGACGCAGCTAGTGGAGAAGGCATGTGAGAGGAGTTATAATGGGCATAAGGGTTATAATTGACCCTTTGGAAGCTTATAACAGTAAATAAAGGGGGTTCACTGGAGAATATTGAATGTTTGAAGTTGGCAGAATGCTATTTAATGCTGTAAAGTGCTTTTTATTCGGGAAATAAAATAAGTGTTCAAATGAGTAGTGTAACGAATAAATAGTTTGAAGTTATTGTAGGAATATGTCAGGATTGTATAATACTGTACTTCCATGCTCGTTGAGTGCATACAGTATATAAATGGGGATCATATGGTAGGTAGGTAAAAAGAAAGGTGTGAATTTAGTGTGTGATAAGAATAAATGGAATACTGTATGGCACATGCGATGTATACAGATTGATGATGTTTTCTGTATGTGGTAATCATAAATAGAAAATATAGTAAAGTGGTGGTGAGGAAAAGTGAATAAAACTGTGATATAGGGGTAGTTGATGTTCTAGAAGTAATGTAGTTAGGTTTACACAAATTTGGTCTGTAGTTGAGAGAGAAAGGAATTTATGCAGAAAATGAGAATAGAGACTTGTTATGGAAGGAGAGTAGCTGGTGCACTGAAAGCCCTGGTTTGGAAGAATGTGATAGGAAGAGATGCAGTTAGTGTTGCCTGATGGAGTAGTAGTGCCTATCCTTGTATACAGTTATAAGAGGTTAGTCTAGAGTAATTATAAAAAGTGTTAGAATTGTTGAAATGAACCTAAACACCACAAAATACATTTGTGGTGTTAAGGTACCAAAGGACTGGAAATGTCATGAGAAAATGTAGTGCAAAAGTCTGTTGATTATAAATTTTAGAAATGTATATCAATACAGTTTTGTCATATTTAAATGTGGATGATGAATGAGTGATAGAGAGAATTCCAAATGAATTTGTGGGTAGGAGGAGAAGGCGAGGACATTGATCCCCGGAACCACCGCAAGATAACTCTCAAGGTACAAGAGGAAGGCAAAGATGGATAGATATCATGTGCATGTGAAGGAGCACAGATTGTGCATGAACATTTGTGGGGTATGATAGGGAATGTAATCAGATGGAATTGGTTTGTTTAAAGGAGGTGTATGTGTAACAGTTTAAATGAGAATTTGCAGGAACCAATTTACATAAATTGTGTTTTGTATAATTGACAATTGTTAAGTTGCAGTGAAGTGCTGCTCTTGATAGCTGAAGAGTGACTGTGCTGAGGCCACAGGATGCCTCGTAGTGTGGAAAATAGTGAATGGGTGGATATCTTTTGAGAATTTAACCTAATGTCCATATTGAGTATTACTTTCCTGGTTGAGGCACATACCTTGAAAGTGGGAAATGGAATAATAATAATAATGATGGTGAATACTGCATTTCTTCAATTTTCAGGATGATCTAAGAAAATCACACATGTTAACTTCTCCATAATATAATGATACACCCAATATTCTGAGGACTTCACATCTTTTATGCACCTTATACAGTACATACATGGTACGAATTTCAGCATGCTTTTCAATCTTCTATTCATGTGCATAACCTTTTTCATACATAGAAATCACTTTTTAAAATACAGTACTAACACCTTATTCTCTTTCAAAGTATCCAAATTGTATATATGATGTAATGGTATATACAATTTGGATACTTTGAAAAAGAATAGGGTGTTAGTACCGTATTTAAAAAGTGTACGTGTGAAAAAGGCTCTGCACATGAATAGAAGATTGAAAAGCATGCCACAATTGGTACCATATACTGTATAGGGGTGCATAAAAGATGTGAAGTCCTCAGAATATTGGTCGTATCATTATACAGTATTCTAGGGAAGTTAATATATGTGATTATCTTAGAGCATCCAGGAAATTGTTTGGTCATGAGACACAGACAAGTGTTGCCAGCAAGAATTGTTCACCTAGTTACGTTCTATCAGTATGGGAAATGCTAAGGTTTTTGCAAAGGACTGGTAATAGTGTGTGCCTTAAGTATAGGATATTACTAAAATATTCTGAAAGTAAAATATAGAGATACATTTTAGAATTAGTAAGTAATGAGGGGTTGAAAGTGAGTGTGAATACATTTAGAGATGATAATATCATGAGTGGTAAGGTGGAAACTTTGATAATGAGTGTGCGTGTTGCTGGTCCTCAGTATATGGAGAGAGGGGTATACTGGCTTCCAGCCAGAGTTCCGGTGCTGTACCTCGACCCATTAGAGTTGCCTCGCGTCCCTCGAGACTCTCGGATAAGATCAAGATGGAGCCACCAGGTATGATTCCTTTTTTTAATGTATGTTAAATATACTAAGTTTCAAGAAATATTGAAATAATTTAAAAGTAAGTACAAATTCCTTTTTCAAGAATGTTATCACAAATGATTATATGTCACACTTGCTGGTGACTTGAGTAAGCTTGGAACTCGTGAGAAGCACATGTGTGGGAAATATTTTGGCCATCAGATAACATACAACTCTTAAGTCAGCTGTAACTTTATCGGGAGAAAATTGTTAATGCAGAAGTTTTAAATGACAAAATTATTTGATAATTTTAAATACAGTATATAATTTGTTTAGCAAAAAAAAAGAAAGTCAAAATTTGAAGAGTGGAAGATTTAATAATTTGTATCATTCCCTGCAAGTGTGTACCAAGCCTGATATAAACACAAATATCTTAATTAAGCACAATCAAGATAGTCATTAGAGGAAGTAACCTTTTGAAGGCTTCTTTCAGGGTTCAGAAATACTGAAATTCCGTTATGTGGTTAATGGCAATGATAAACTACCAGATTAAAGTTATATAATAAATTTGTTTACACCTATGTGTTGATTACATTTTCAGGATGTGACATCATTCAAAATGTTGTCATAACAAAAACAGTACAGTACTGTCTTTGTTTCAGTGAATTAAAGAATTGGAGGAATTTTTGTGAAATAAATTATTTTGGATTTATCTTATTTGTATAGTTATATCAACATTTAGGAGTTAGTTCCACTAGTATTATTTTTGTGTGTTTTTAGATTAATGTCTTCTTAAACAGTCTCTTGTTTTCTCTTGTCCTTGTGGTGTGTACTGGGGAACCTAACCATTTTAACCTTTGCCCTAGCTTGCATTCTCTCTAATAATTCTCATCTGCTCTGCATGTAAAAGCACTAGAGGTTGCTAAAACTATTGTCGAGGTGGACTGTACATAAAATAGCATGCAACACCAGTAAAACAATAGATTGATGAAGGTACTGATGGCATAATGGGTTGAGATTGTTCTTTGTACATGGGTCAGAGCTTGTGTTAACTGCACAATGTATCTACAGTACTGTACTGTGTTTACTTTGTGCAAGCACAGTGTACTCTCTATCCATAATATTGAATTATGCTACTGTAGAAGTTCGCTAATCCGGACTATATGGGAAGGACCCCTTGCCGGATGAGCACGTTTTCCGGATTAACTGACTTTTCACCGCGGAAGTCCAAAAGTGAACATTTCCAAAAATGTTTTTACCACAAACAACATAATTTGAATTGCCACACACTGTAATTAGTGTGTGGGGCTGGGTGGGTGGTTAGCTGCCTGGCTGGTAGGTGGGCAGGGCAAGTGGGTGGGCAGACAGGTGGGTTGTTGGGTGGGCAGGTCAGGTGGGTGGGTGAGCAAGCAGGTTCTGGATGGGTGGATGGCAGGCAAATGTAGTTGGCAGGTGAGTGGGTGGGTTGGTGAATGCTAGGCAGATGTTCTTGGTGGGTGGGCAGGGAGGTCAGGTGGGTGGGTGAGCAAGCAGGTTCTGGCTGAGTAGGTGGCAGGTGAGTGGGCAGGCAGGTTCCGGTGGGCAGATGGGCTTGATGGGTGGGCAGACAGGTCATGTGGGTGGGTTGGGGGATCAGGTGGGTGGGTGGGCAGGCAGATTTGGATGGGCGGGAGCAGTCAGGCATGTGGCCACACAACACAAGCAGGTGGTGGGTGACTCTCCCTACCCATCACCCTCTCCACCCATCACCACCCTCCTAACCCATGTCACAAGTGATGACGACATACTCACTCACTCGCTGTACGATGACACCATAATATGCATCTTGTGTTAAACCCCATTTTATTTTCTTGTGAATATTTAAATGAATAAATAACTAATACTTTTCAAATATTATGGTGTGGTTTTTAATATTCGTAACTAGCTCTCCACTGCAAAAAAAAAAAAATAGTGATTAAACAACTGCGCCATGACCCAGAGGGTTGGTGCCATACTCCTACTAGGGTCACAACCCTAGTAGACTTAACGCCAGTCACCTCTTGTACACAATTCACTCCTCACAAAACCCCAGGGTGGGTGGGGTGGGGTGGTGGTGTGGTGTGGTTACCACACCCACTCCTGACACCCATCACTCGTACCCACTCCTGACACCCACCACACTCGTACCCACTCCTGACACCCACCACACTCGTACCCACTCCTGACACCCACACCCACTCCAGCCTCACAGCTTGCCTATGAGCTTGGTGGGTGAGTGCAAGCCTCCCAGCTTGCCTGAACCCTGCCTTGACTCCCTCTTTTTCTTGTGGTAGTGTACAATGAGTGTTAGGCCCAGCATTTCACCTGTTCATCTCTCAGTGGTAAAGATTTACTTGTTATATTCTGTGTCAAGTTAAATCTTGGATTTGGAGAGATTTTTAGGCTTCAAATACTATCGGTACACGCTGATACGGACAAATATCTAGTAGTCCGGCTTCTATGGACATTCTGTCCAGATAGGGATATAAATTTTTCCGGCCACGATTTTTGCCGGATTGGGGCATTTTGTGGATCCGAGGGCTCCAAATTATCGAGCTTCTACAGTACTTGCTTCACCGTGATTGAGAATTACACAACTTGCTTTACTGTAACTGAGAATTATATGACTGCTTCACTGCAATTGAGAATTATATGGCTTGTTTCACCATAATTGAGAATTATATGGCTTGCTTCACCATACAGTACAACCTTGATTCGACGCACCCTGATTCGGTGAACCTCCTGCTAGGTCGCATACTTTTCAGGCCGGATCTACTCGCTTGTTTTGACATACTCTGGTTCGCCAAAGTGGGGGATGTGCGGGTTTCCTTACAGTGTTAGGACAGAGTTCATAGAGTGGTGGAAAACTTTCCCATTCTATCACAGGTTACAATTAATATTTTCTTCATATGACGAGTTGGATCACACAAGTGGATAAGTGGTCCACAAGTGGTCCACAAGTGGTCTACACGCTTACGATGTTGTGACAGAGTTCACAGAGTGGCGAATATCTTTCCCATTCTATCACAGGTTACAATTAATAATTCATACGACAAGTTGGATCACATAAGTGGACAAGTGGACCACACAACAAGCGAACCATATTAACCAAACACTAGCCAGAGTGGTCTACACAACACATGAACCATATTAACCAAACACTAGCCAGAGTGGTCCACACAAGTGAACGACTGAGTTTCCATGATTTTTATTCACTGATTTGTGGCACACGTATCTTTGTAAATGAATTCAAAGGCTGAAGTTGAATAGGTAGCTACATATGGTGAAATCTCCTTATAGACATTTTCTGTGATGAAACAAGATGAGTGAGGGTGGACAGATAAGGGAATATTGTACTGTAAACCTCGCTTTACAGTTAGGTTTCACTCACTTTTGTCTGTGTCGTCATAGTTCAGTGACCCATGACTTTAAAAGTTTCAGATTAATAAATCATTGCTAACACCAGTGTTTTTATAGCTCTTTATTATCCTAATTACATTTATAAACTAAATAAAACCAAAAATATACTGTAATATGATGGACATCTGTTTGAGAAATTATTTGTTATTGGCACAAGAACTCCAGCGCGAGTGAACGGGTCAAATCCGTGTACACACAGCACTGTGTGTGTTTCGTTCAATTTCGTAGCTACAGTTCAGTGACTTACGGCCTCGAAATAATAAAATTAATAAATCAATTCTAAAATAAGTATTTTTTATAGCATTTCTTATCCTAATAATGTTGATAAACTAAATATATAACCCAAAAATAAATATATATATATATATATATATATATATATATATATATATATATATATATATATATATATATATATATATATATATTTTATTAAATATGACCGAAAAAGTAAGATTAATAATTCTAACACGAATTTTCTCAATCTTTCGTACATTATGCTTCACTGTTGGAGGTAAATCAAAAATCACTTCTCCAAAATTCATTTTTATTTCTAGTCTGACGCGACACGGGCGCGTTTCGTAAAACTTATTACATTTTCAAAGACTTCACAAATACACAACTGATTAGAACTTGCGTTTCCCTGATTTTATATCTACATTTGAGTGGGGTGGGAAGGGTGATGTGGCATTACATTTGAGTGAGGTGGGAAGGATGATGTGGCATTAGAGGATATTAATAGGGTATTAAAAGTATCAACACAAGACAGAACACGAAACAATGGATATTGAATAGAAGTGTTTGTAGAAAGCCTATTGGTCCATATTTCTTGATGCTTCTATATTGGAGCGGAGTCTTGAGGTGGGTAGAATATAGTTGTGCAATAATTGGCTGTTGATTGCTGGTGTTGACTTCTTGATGTGTAGTGCCTCGCAAACGTCAAGCCGCCTGCTATCGCTGTATCTATCGATGATTTCTGTGTTGTTTACTAGGATTTCTCTGGCGATGGTTTGGTTATGGGAAGAGATTATATGTTCCTTAATGGAGCCCTGTTGTTTATGCATCGTTAAACGCCTAGAAAGAGATGTTGTTGTCTTGCCTATATACTGGGTTTTTTGGAGCTTACAGTCCCCAAGTGGGCATTTGAAGGCATAGACGACGTTAGTCTCTTTTAAAGCGTTCTGTTTCGTGTCTGGAGAGTTTCTCATGAGTAGGCTGGCCGTTTTTCTGGTTTTATAGTAAATCGTCAGTTGTATCCTCTGATTTTTGTCTGTAGGGATAACGTTTCTATTAACAATATCTTTCAGGACCCTTTCCTCTGTTTTATGAGCTGTGGAAAAGAAGTTCCTGTAAAATAGTCTAATAGGGGGTATAGGTGTTGTGTTAGTTGTCTCTTCGGAGGTTGCATGGCTTTTCACTTTCCTTCTTATGATGTCTTCGATGAAACCATTGGAGAAGCCGTTATTGACTAGAACCTGCCTTACCCTACAGAGTTCTTCGTCGACTTGCTTCCATTCTGAGCTGTGGCTGAGAGCACGGCCGACGTATGCGTTAACAACACTCCTCTTGTACCTGTCAGGGCAGTCGCTGTTGGC